CCCTGCTCCCTTACCCCACATCCCCTGGCGTTGGGGTCTGGCTGGACAGCGCAGGCTTCAGAACTGGGGAAAATCAGACCTTGTTTGTCTTGTCCTTGTGAACGAGAGCGAGGAGGTGCCGTTCTGTCCTCCATGGGGACGTTTTTGGGCTCCTTGCAGGGGTCGGAACGGTTCAGGCGCTGGCGTGTTTGACAGAACTCGGGGACCCAGAAGCCTCCGATGGGTTACTTGCTTCTTTTTCTCCGTCGGGCAGCCGGTCCTCCTAAGTTTAGACCGATGCGTGTGTAGGTGTGCATGCCCTCACCACCGTTTCCCGAGCAGTTTTCCAGAGATACCTATCCGGCAGGGCACAACCAGAACCTACTCTTCCTGTCCGGAACAAGTGCCGTGTTGATTTGGTGTCATGAAAAATACCTTATGGGTCACTTCTGGGCCCCAGTGGAAGAAATTCGGGGCCAGCCCCTTTTCAGCATCCATCTGCCACAGGGACTGTATTTTTCCCCCAGGTCCATTACCTCCACTTTTATCTTGTGTTCCCCGGTAGGGCCATGTATGTCTGCCGATCGGGGTGCATGTGAATGGCTTCCTTCTTGAGTTCGTGTGGGGTGCCTTTTATTGGAAGGAGAAGATTCTCCGTGTCCTTACGTAGCCTTCTTCCTGTCTGAGGAACAGCAGCTCCCCACCTGGGGTCACCCAGGTGTTCTTGGACTACAACTCCCAGAAATCCCGGCCAGCTCAGCTAGCGGTGAAGGCTTCTGGGAGTTGTAGTCCAACAACAGCTGGGGACAGCCCAAGTTGGAAAGCACTGGTTTAGGACAATGGATGAGCCAAGGTGGGTTATATTTCCCCCCTTACAACATTCGGCGCCGAGTGAATGGACCAATAGGCAGTCTAGAGGTTGGAAATGTTTTTTTTTTTTTAAAGACTATAGCAATGTGGGCTGTAGTGCCCAAAAGTCACTTTCTGGGTATAGCGATTTGAACCCAGGCCTCCTGAGCCGCACTTCCTCGTTCTGACCATTGTCTCACGTCGAGTAGAGAGCTCACTAACTTAAGTCAGATCTGCTTGGATCGGGATTCCTCCATTGAACACAAAGCCCTTCCATTATTCTACGATTCTGTGGTTCCGGTTTTGATCTGAAATGGGGCTTTTCCTGGATTGTAAGATCGGCCCAACAGAGCATTGGGTTTGTGGGGTGGGCTGCTTCTTAAGTTATTCCCTTCATTTATTTATTTATTTTAAAGTTTTAATCCCACCCCCACCCCTTTCTACTTAAAGGCAGCTTATGGGATGGTCCCCCCCCTCAGACGTACGCTGTAACCATTGCACGCTGCTGCCGTAGGCGCTGATTGGCGGGCGTGGGGGGTCTTGTGACCATGGCCAAAGGTTTATCAGCGGCCTGCTCCCCCAGGAGAGGTTCAACGCGTACATATGCAGACCATTAGAGCAACCTGTCCTGTTGCTGGAGGGGGCAAAACCTTACAGAGGCTAAGATGACATGGATTATTGGCAATCAGAAGTGATTGTTTTAGTGTATGTAGAATTAAAATACAACCCACGCTGGGCGGACCTGCATGTGCTTTTTGCTGAGCCTGCTGCCCTGAGATCTCTCACCGTGACAGCTTTCCGGCCCCCGATTTTCCTCCTTGTTAGGGTTCTAGATTTCTAAAACCAGGTCTGGCCCGGAGAGCTGTTGATCTGGAGAAGGGGTCCGAGGGACGGATCACATTCCCACATTCTGTAGATCGTAGAGGAAGGCGTTTTGTAAAAGAAGGCATAGAAGCCCCCCCTAGGAAGCTGAAATAGCCGCTCTCAAACATTTGGGACTCGGAACTCGGAATCGTCTGTTATGGAGTGGCCATCCTTGTCGTCACTAGAATCCAAGATTCTCGTCCTCATGCTTCCCAATCACTTGCTGTTTCAAACGAGCGCGTACGAATCTGCCTTGTGAAGAGTCCGCCCGTCATTCAATCGGGGTTCTGTGCTATCTGTGCCGCGTGGCGGCCGCTCTTCGGGGTTCGCGGCGAATTTGCCACTCCGAAACCTTTCTTGGAGACGTCGGTGATTAAATCTGCCTGCTGTGCCCAGCACCAAATGTGTGAAAAAGTTCTCCCTGTGCAAGAAACACCAACGAGCCGTTCGGGAAAATATCCAGAGACAGAGTGGCCTAAATGGAAATGAGACCAAGTTGTTGTTTTCCCCTGCCCCGGGGGAGAGGCAGTTCTAGTTCCCCCAAATAAGATGGGAGCCAGGTTGCAGAGAGAGAAGGGGCCGGGCGCCCGATTACGCCAGGCAGCTGCTTTTTCATTTCTTTGTTGAGGTTTGGCGCGAGAACACCCAGCATGCCCTGCTTTGAATCCTTGGCTCTTTCTCTCCACCACCAGTGGTTAATATTTAATGCTTTGCCTGCTACAGGGGCGGAAAGTGGGGGAGGACCGGCGCGCCGAGAGCATCCGGAGATGCAAATGCGAATTTCTCCAAGGACCTGGAAAAGGCTGGCTCTCGACGGCGCGATGCGTGCACGAGAGAAAGAGAGAGAAAGAAAAGGGGAGATGAGCCTTAACAGGAGGGAACGCATCTGCCTTTCCCTCCGGCTCTGGATTAGGAGCCCTCTTGTGCATGCGCGGATAGGAGACCTGACCGAGCGAGCGCTCGGCCCTCCGGATCGCCGGATCGACACGGACGGGAGCTCGGCTTTGTCCGTTTGAGTGACCGGTGCACCGTCCCTCCGAGGTGCAGGAGAATAAAAAGTTTGCCGCCCCCCCCACGGGGGGGTCTGTGTTCCTCTCCACGGGAGGCTAGATAATTATGTAAGATTGATCTTCAGTTGCCGTTTCTTCTGAGTTTTTCTCTTCTTCCTCTCCGTATGTCTTTCTTCGGCCGCTCTTGGCAAACATGTCGCGTGAGGTGTTTGCTCGCCGCTCTCGGGAGAAGCGTAGGGTCTCCTTCCCCCCTTCATCCCATCCTGCATTTTCTTAGTGTCCTTGCTGTTACGGTAAGGATCGTGATCCTGTTGGATCGAGCTGCAAGGGTGTGTGGTCATTTTTGAAGTTGCTCCTTGGACAGGTTGCTCCAGGGTGAATGAGGGGGCAGAATTAAAATTAATCAAGGGAGATTCACCCGAGCCCTCTTTGTCTCTCTTGCACGCTTTCAGATCCTCACCGATGTCTTCTGCATCTTAGAACGATTTTCCGTTGTATGTCATGAGGTCTAGAAACCTGAAAGTGCGATTTACTCAATGTGTTAGTACATTCGGAGCCTACTGTGCCTGGAGGTTTCATGTGTGCCCCTCTCTGGGGCTGTCGGCGTGGGTGAACAAGGGACTTCAGGGTGTGATCTTGAGGAAGGATCTAGGGGGTGACTTCTATAGGTTGGTTTCAAGAGGTTGACATGGAGTCCCCCCCCCTCGTGAATCCCAAGGGTGTAGAGCTTCGGCACCATCTTGTGAATGGAGGTGGATGTGTTTCACCTGGAGAGCTGATATGGAAGAGTCACCTTCAGACATCTGACAGGTGGTCATGTGGACGATGGGGGACTTTTTCTGCGCCAATGGATAGAGCCCGAACTCATAATTCAGATGATAAGCGAGGAAATTTTGCTTAAACAATAGGAAGAGGTTTGTTGGTAAAGAGTTTTACAGTGGGGGATCCGGTACTGGATCTCCATGGGTACATGTGTGTGTATTATTTTTGTGGAATTGCATTTTGTCATTATATATCCCTTCCACTAAATATCCGTGTAGTGGAGGGTTAAGAAGAATCGTCTATCTTTAACAATACCTTAAGATTCTATTATGATGCAGTTGGACCCTTCATATATGGGATCGGAATTCATGGTCTTAAAATATTAAAAGAAAAAAACAACTCAGAAATGTGTGTTTCCAGGATGAAATTACCAGAACTGGCCACAAGAAGGAGCCAGAAACCATGCTATGTCTAGGGTTTACTATTATCCACAGCTTTCGGCACCTGCGGAGGGGTTTGGAACCGATCCCCCCGCAGATGCAGAGGTCTCGCTGTTGTGATTCGTGTCAGCTATACCAGCTAATGGTTTGCTACTCGTTATATCTGTTATGCACCATCATGTCAAAGCCCATGTATAATGCCTTTACAGAAGGTTTCTGAGTCAATTAGATATATAAGGAGTTGTTTTACCAGTTGTGCCGTTTGTAAGGCGATGATGGATTGCTTGGTCTCTAGCTGCGACGCCAGGGTCCCGAGTTCGATTCCCCACTGGGCCTCCTGTGAGTAAAGCCAGCCTGGGTGGCCTCGGGCCAGCTGCACAGTCCCAGGGCGCCCCCCTCCCCATGAAAGAAACCACCTCTGAGGACTCTCTCCCTGGAAAACCCTAGAAAGGATCCCCATAAATCAGAACTGACTTGACGGCTCAGGATTACGATCGAGAGACAGGAGACTTGCTCGGTTTTGCTGCTTTGGGTCGGAGCCATTGGCCTTCCAGAGTTGGCTCCTTTTTTGGCGGTTCCTTTCTGCCAGCGCGGCTGGCGGGTCTTTGTGCCCGCGAGAAATCGAGCGTGGTGGGGCTGCCAGGTCTTCTCGGTTGCCTGGCAAACGCTGCTGTGGGTTTTCACCCAACCGCTTTTTTGCCCGATCTCTTTCTCTCTTGCACAATAATATCTCTGTGCGTTGTTTTTCGCCCGCGAGCGGGGGGGTGGTCCCCAAGCCGTGGGGCTGTGGAGAGCTCATTCATGCGACGGGAGACCCGTCAGCTGTATGATAATAGCAGGGGGGGGGGGTAGAAGGGGGTCAGCCCTGTCCGTCCGCAATGCCTCCGTCTTTGTCTCCCTTTCGCTCACCACTAACTCGCCTGCTTCTCTCTCTCCCCCCCCCCCAACCTCTCCTCCTTCTCGTCCCCACAGAGGCCGGCCGGGACAGCGTTCGCCCCCCGCCGGACGCCAGCAACCCCGGCATGACCTCGGGGAACGGCACTACAGCCCCCTCCACCATCGCCGGCGCCGCCCCCCAGAACGGTGAAAACAAGCCGCCTCAGGCCATCGTGAAGCCCCAGATCCTCACCCACGTCATCGAGGGGTTTGTGATCCAGGAAGGGGCTGAGCCGTTC